TATTATTAATTACTTTATTTTTACTTCTCACTTGACATGTTTGGGTGTTAAATTTAGTTTTTAGTATGTGCTTAAGGAGGTTATATTAGCTAGGACTTTCATCTCAGGAGAGTAAAGATGGCATTACTCTCACTCAGGAGATTAAAGATGCTATAGACACGGTCCTGAGCCAGTGAAGATCCCTCGCAGTGTAGACTGAGCAGGAAGTGGCCGGGAATCCACACCTTAAAGGCCCAGACAGCATCTCCTCCTCTATGGCCCTGGCCTCTCAGCAGTGTCTTCAGAGCACCCGTCAAGGCGGCAGGGTGGGACACCAAGTCCCCCTGCTTTGCACAGTGAGGGTCTCTGGGGCAAATGGAAATGATTCATCCACTCTAAAATCTCAAAGTTGGTTTTATGCAATCAAAGAAAGTCATTGCAACGGCAGTTTCCCAGAGCAGACTGGAGTTTCTTATCCTAAAATGTTTTCCAAATTGGAAACCCCCGCCAGAGCTCCCTGTAGTACAGTGGGCTGACTCGGTTATTAAAGACGCACTCACATACATATGTCCTGTTCATACCCACAGCCCTAAAGTCTCAGGGTCTGAAGGTAGACAGGAGCTGGGTCTAGTCCTGGCCCCTGGACAGGAATCTCTTTCTAGCGCTCTCAAGGCACATAAATATGCCATCTCTCTCCACCACCTCGAGAAACCGAAGCTCACCAGTGGAGAAAAAGCCTCATTTTGCCTGTGGCAGCAAAGAAAGAGCAAGAGTCCCTCATGGACACATGTCCAGTGCCCATGGCCCTGGCTCCTTAGCTCCCAGACCTCCTTTATTCTGATTCTCTGATGTGAGTACCAGGATGTCACTCTTCTAAGACCTGGGTCCTGGGACCTCATCCAGCTTCCTGGATGGGGCGGTGGCCAAGGGAAGCCTTTCAGAGAAAAAATGACCCGGGGCTGACTGTGATCATCCAGAGACAGCCCCCAAAAGGCAGAGGTGCTGGCATGAGCCCTGGTCTCATGCTGATGCCACAGTCCTTGGAGGGCTCCGGGAGCGTCTATACTGGGTGCTGCCCTCACCCCTCCATCCGCCACCTCAGGTGGGCGTGCTGGTGTCTTCCCCTAGGCTCCAGGACCCGGCACTGGCAGGGTGACAGCCATAACTTGGGACTGCTCAGTTATAACACACAGTACAGAAATAACAACACCCGGACCTTCAGAAAGTACCGTGGGTTCTCTGTGTCCCTAGCATGGCTCTAAAACCCTCTTACCCAGATCACTAACAGCCAAATCCAAGGCCCCTTCATTCTCCCAATGTCCAGCTGCTACAGGCCTAGGCACTGGGGCTCCCTTCCTTCCTCCCTTCCTTCCTCCCGAGACTCTTCCTCTGCAGAGTTGGAGGCCAGTGCCACCCCATGGCACCCCCATCCTGCCAAACACCACCCTCCATTGTCTCTGGGCCCCTAATGGAGCTCCCAGGCTCAGTGCACCTTCAAGCTGCCTTCTCTTCTGGTAAGATGGTGACCATGCAAAGAAAACCAAGCAAAGGCCCAGCCCAAGACCCCGAGGCTCATCTCTGCACTTGAGGAAGAGCCATGCTCCTTGGCCCCCATCCTGGCCCTCCTTGGTTCGGCCTGTCTGCATCTCCAGCCTCACTCCTTGGCACCAAATTTCCCTGGCACACCCCAGTCCACCTCTCCTCCAGACCATCTGCCTGGCAAGGATCCCTCTGCCCCACAAGGCCTGGATGAGAGGCTCTGGCTGAGCACCTCTGACACGTCTCCCCAACTCTGGAGTTGAAATGAGTGGGGAAGGTCTCCACGCCTCCACTTTGTAAGGCTGTGAGCTTGCAGGTGAGCTGCTCTCTGAATCCTGAGGTGCTCTTCCAGCTTCAAATTCGGTTCCTCTGGTTGGGGTTTAGCATGCAATTTAAATCAATGGGCTCTCCATGATCAATTATTAAAAGCCGACAATTTCCATTGCTCTGAACTTTCTTTAGGATGCACAGGTTATCAGCCACAGGTTAGCACTAACAGAGCAGATGCCGAGTCTGGGAGGGACATTAAATGCCCGGCGGGAATGCCCTAGCGCTGTCTGCAAGCAGAACGGGGCCTGCCAGGTTCCTGTCATCGAGGGGTGGAGGTTGATGTAACATGAATAAAGTATTTTGACAACACGAAGCAAAGAGCCCTCAAGGTATGAAAAAAAAAACAACGCAGAGCTGGCTTTTTGCCACCCATGGAATCATGAATTTCACGGGTTGAGTCATTTCTTTTGTTACTGGGATATCATCAGTTGAAATCTTCCCCCACTTAAAAGGGTATAATCCAAAAAACACACCACATACAGGCTGAAACCAAGTGAGACCCAGAGTGGGGCGGGGACAGTGAGCCCAGCAGCAGCAGAAGTCAGACCAGACTGAGGGAGCACGCCCCATGGCTGGCAGGCCCTTGTAGCGAGCAAAAGGCTCCCAAACAAACTCCCTGCATATCACCCATCCTACAAGAAGGACACAGAACTGTGTTTACTGGCACAGACAGCAGCCGGGTCTCAGTGATACGCCCCTCTAGATGGCCTCTCTCTGGTCTTGTGGGTGGTCAAGGCTATTCTACATTGTCCAGTGATAAATCTCCCTTCAGCGCCCATTCAGCAGAGCAATCCGGGTCTTGAAAGGATCACTTACAGTTCCACTCGTGTTTACAAACATTATGTAAACACAGTCCCAGGCCCCTGTATTTACGAACATACCCCGAGCTCTCCCTGCATACCATGTACTCTCAGACGCCTCTAACTTCCCCCAAACCTTACACAAGACTGTTATCCAGGAGATAAGACTTCTGATTTTAATGTTTCCGAGTGATTTCTTTTAACACTGTTTGGTGAAGTAAGTCCGGTGTAATACTGCACATAGTTTTGTTCCCATTGGGGCCTTTTTTGTAAACTCAGAATTTCCCATATATTTGTTTAATGCATCGACCCGGACCTATGACTCAGGAACTGCTACCCCTGCTGTGTGCTGGGGTTGCTATACAGCTCTGTCATAAAGGCCAGCAATCTATACATGGGGGACTCTCCTGGCTCCTGCAAACTCCCAGTTCATGACATACAGAGTCGGAGTTTTTCAGGCAAGCTGGAATGCCAGCCGTTTGCTCAGTCACAGCCCCAGTAAGTGAGAGGTGGATGCAGACCAGCATTTCTTCACACCCTCCCTGGGCCCTGCACTGGGATAGGGTTTCCTTCTCAAAGACGGAGTGAAGAGCAATTCACAGAAACACTGCCCTTTACCGGCCTGCGTCACTCGGGCTGCCCACGGCACACTCAGACCTGATGCCAGGACCAATGTCTACAGAGTATGTGCTCCTTCCCCCAGGCCACCCCAGACCTGAGGTGTGACTCCAAAGAGGATGGAGACACTGGGTCCACACCACAGGGCACTAACTTTTACTCTACTGTGCAGATCCCATGGGAACCTGGGTGGGCCATGTACTGACACCTCCGTCAATATGACTGTAAGGCAGGGACTGGTGTGGTGCCTGCAGCCAGGGTGCTTAGGAAGATGACATGGGCCAGCACACCTACCAAGAACCACACTGGCATAAATGGCAGTATCTCTCGTCAGTGGTACCAGCACACGGTGGGAATCACATGCACGGCGTCATCCAGTGATGTTCTCTATGATCTTCACTTTTAGAGGCAGGCCCCTCTAAGGAGCCAGTGGCCTCCAGAGACCAACACCCTGAAACACGCCAATGTGGGAGGCCTGGCACCACACGGATGCCACATTCTCTGGCCCAAGGTCCTCCTTTGGTCTCTGCATATCACTACCGGGACTCCCAGAACACAGCTCTGTCTCTCCACCTCCTGCAGCCACAGCCTGGCCGCCCTCTCCTGGCGTGCACCTCTGTGCAGGAGCTTCCAGACCACACGATCTGCCCACACAGGCCCCTACCTAAGACACCCCCGCTCCATCCCAGCACCCCTCTCTGCTTGCCGTCTTCCCTGGCCGACCTGACCACTTCTAGCTCTCTGGTCCTCTCAGCCTTCATGCCTCACCAACAGAAAGAACACTATATAGTAACGTGGTCCCAATAGGTAGCATGCCCCATGACATGGACACAGTGCTGCTGTGAACCAGGTACAGGTCACTGTCTGTCCACCACTGCCAGTCCCGGTTCTTCCCAGGCCTCAAAGCTAGGCACAAAGGCCCTGTGCCGGTTTCCAAACCACCAGCCTTAGGGGGAAAGGACACGTGCAGTCCTGGCCTCCCTACGGTTAGCATAACCCCCACCTGGTTTTGGGGCATCCCCAGGAGGCCCCCGCACCTGGCTCCACTGCTCTGGGTGCCGCCACAGCTCTCAGCCCCCTCACCCAAGCCTACTCCCCAAACCCCTCCCATCACTGAGCTGCTCTCCATGGTAGAAACTCTTGTGGAGCCCAGGCCTCTGCCCAGCTGCTGCCTTCCACAAACAGTCCCCACACACCACCATGGCCAGCACCGACACGTTGTACACCATGACTGCTTGATCACTTCCATGTGCCACAGCTGTCTCAGGGCTCAGCAGTCTTCTTGATGCCCAACCTTCAGCCCCACTGAAGTAACTGGCGTTCTTCCACAAAGCCCTGACCCACACCACAGGGGCAGAGGTCAGCACGCTTCCTTAGTTAATCCACTAACTTTCACGAAGGGAGAATGGTTTCACTGTTGGGCCCATTCTGCAGCGAAGGCATGGCCAGCCCTTTCCAGCAGAGTGCATGCTGGCCCTGGCCCTGTGCTGATGTTAACAGAACAGCAGGCTTTCTGTCCGGCTCTTCCCACCCTCCGATCTGCCACCAAGGGACCACGGCAGCATGACAGCATTTGGATCCTAGGCCAAAATTCACGAGAGTCGAAACTGCAAAAGAAAGCTAACCTACTAGGCTGATTTCTCATCACACGTCAGCCTCCCGTGGAGCACCTCCCGTGGAGCACCTCCCGTGGACCACCTCCCGTGGACCACCTCCCGTGGAGCACCAGCTCACCTTGACGCCCGGAGGTCCTGCTGGTGCCCTCTGCTGTGTCAGGTAGCCTGCTGCTTGGCCGGAGCCCGCCTCCCATGCTGTCCGGAGACGCAGAGCCATTGGCCTGGCTACCGAGGGCGTTCATGTGGGTAGGGATGGGCTCAAAGGTAGGATCCAGCTCCAGGATCAGCCTGTTGAGCTGCTCGATGGACTGGTCGATGTCCAGGGTGGGCGAGCCTGGAGAGGGGCCTGTGCTCAGCTCTGAGCCGGCTCCATTCACAACTTGGTCGCCTGGAAACCTGGGTTTGAACGCTTTGCTGGGAGAGGGCTGCTGTGTGTCGGGGGGATGTGGCCCACTGCCCACACCCCTCTGGACAGCCACCCTGCTGCTGGTCCCTCGGGTGGGGGTGAGTGGGATTCTTGGCTGGGCCTGGACAAGGCCAGGGTTGTCTGCAGGGCCTCGGCTCACCAGTCGGGTCTCCCCATCGGGGGCGAAGCTATACTGGTGAGCCACCACCATCTGCTGCTGGCGTACCCAGGTCTGTGTGGAGTAGCTGCTCTGCCCATAGGCCTGCATCTGGGGAGACACCGAAGGCTTCCTCAGCAGGGGCTGGGGCTGCTTGGGCTCTCGACTCCCGAAAGTTCGCTCCCGCTCATAGGGGGCATCCATGCCAAGGCCCAGGTCCGGAACAAGGGTGCCCTGTGGGTCTTCACCAATGTTGCTGCCAAAACCATCAGACAGGAGTGAGTTCTGGCTGCTCTTGTGGCAGGTGAAGGGGCCCAGGTGGGCTGACTGCGGCCCTTCGGAGGAGGACAGGGTCCCAAGGCTGTCCACACTGTGCAGGTCATGGTGGGGCATCTCGTCATCCAGAATGTCCGTCTCCCGGTCCTTCAGAGCAGCGTCTCCATTCACGTGGACCTGAGCCGGCACCACATGGCGGGTCCCGCTGTACTTGCTTCGAGCATCAGTCATTTCCTTCAGGGAGCTTCCAGATTCTTCCAGGCCAAAGCCACTGAGCAGCTGGTCCAACTCGGCCTTCTCCTGGGCGCTCAGGCCCCTCTTGGTTCCCGGAGCCAGGCGCTCTTCCGTCTTATCAGTCCTGGCAGAGGCTGTGGAGTGGCCAGAGTCGCTGCTGACAGACAAGGTGTGGTCACTGTGGTCTGGGCTGCTGGTGGCCGGGACGGCCTGGGGGCCCCCTGGGATGCCAGGATCCGAGGAGCTTTTCTTCCTCACCTTCGCGTAAAGGCTGCCATCAACAGGGCCCTGCGTGTGTAGCACTGCGGGGGAGAAAAGCAGAGAGAGGGTTTCAGTCAGGGATGAAAGCCAGCCTCACACCCTCGGAATGAGCGTGTGCGTTTGTCTGAGCAAAGAAATGGATTCAAAAGATGACTAACAATAAACAGGGACAAAGACTCTCTAAGATCACAAAGTTCTACACATCCTCTGGAGCAGGCCAATGCAAAGGAATGCAAATAAACAAACATCTTCAGGCACTAGAATCATTTCCACCTTTCCATGCAGAGCAAACTGTCATTCTGAGCTCTGGGATTCTTCACCTTCTGAATCATCTTGCCTTGAGGGCTCAGTTAGTTTCATCATGATTATGAATGCTGAACCAGGCTCAGCTCATAAATCCCTGCAAATGGACTGTTCATCCTACACAAACAGCTTCCATCTATAGACCTGTCTAACATTTGTTGAGCATCAGTTAGGGGCCAGGTAGCAAATTCTTATGAAATTGAATGTCTTGGTGGAACCCCATCTCTATTAAAACACAAAAATTAGCCGGGTATGGTGGCACACGCCCACAGTCCCAGCTACTCGGGAGGCTGAGGCAGGAGAATCACTTGAACCCGGGAGGCAAAGGTTGCAGTGAGCAGTGCACTCTAGCCTGGGCAACAGAGCAAGACTTTGTCTCAAAACACACACACACACACACACACACACCCACACACACACACACATCAACAACAACAACAAAACTGCACATCTGCTCAAATGTCAACATGAAATTCAATGAAAAGAGAAAGTGCGAGAATTGACTGCCCTTCCCGTCTGGAGCAGCCTCTTTGGGCCGAGCAGGTGCCTGGTGAATGTCTCAGGACCACAGACAGATGAGACTGACTTGCATGCACTCATTTCCATACATGGAATGTCAGGAAAATAAAACTTGGAATTAAAATGTGGGCAGGAAGGACTCCATGTTTGGGTCCCCTTCCACGAACACTCCCTTCATGGAAGCTGTTTTCGTCTCCTGGATTTCCCCTCTGGAGTCCCCTTCCACACTCTCTCGTGGAAGCCTGTCCCCCCCTCCTAAAGTCTGTATCTCTCTCTGTTCCCTTCCACTCAGTGTGGAAGCTGCTTTCCTCTCCCGGATTCCATCTTTCTGGATTCTCTCACTCAGTGTGAGAGTTCGCTGTTTCTTTCTCTTTCCTTCTCCTGTTTCTCTCTCTCTAAATAAATCACTTCCTAAAATCAAAAAATAAAAAATAAAAATAAACAAATAAAGTGTGGGCAGGGAGGGCTGAGGCTTCGGCTGCTATTATTAATCATGGCCACGGCGCTGGCATGCGGGGACTCCCGAGCCTCAGTCTGCTGACTGGCCAGCTGCCGCAACCACACATGGTGGGTCCTTGCCAAGAGCCTCCTAAAATAAGCTGGAGTTTGTAGTCAGCACATGCCTTACCCCGTGGGCCTCCCCCACCTTCTTCGACTTTCTCAACTATGAAATGGCAGGCATTCCACAGCCAGGGAGCTGCTGCTGGTGCTGGGAAACCCACGCTTTGTGGGCACCTGGAGTTTGAGAGACGAGAGCCACCACCTGACAGTGGCCACCGAGCCTGGCCCAGGAGCCCTCTGGAGAGACCTCCTCTAAGCATGTGCCTCATAGCCCCAGGTTCCAGGCTGATGTGCCGCCACGGTCAGTGTCTGCTGGCTTTTTTGAAAACACCGGGACAACGTGTTGGGACAGAGCCCCGAGAGGTACTTGGGTGTGGTGCTGAAAACGCGCCCACGCCAGGCTCTCTTCTTGTTTCAACCGTGCCCAATGGAAAGCACGCAGAGGAGTGGGGAGAGGGGATTGTGGACACAGGGTGTGGGTCCGTCTGCAGTGGCCCTGACTCCCATCCTAAAGTCAAGCCCAGGGGAGGGAAGGTCTGGGAGTAGAAATGCTACACAAAATGCTGCAAATAACCCAAGTCTTCAAGGCAGGGGACGTGATGACAGGACATATGCCATGGGATTCATTCAAGTATCGGCCTCAGGGACCGCTGCTGTTTTCTAAGTACCTCTTATTGACAGGACAGGTGCGTTGTGCATTTTCTCTAATTTTCACAACATGATCTATGTTGTTTTTCCTTGTTTATCTATAAGGACCTGAAGCTCAAACAGAATAAATAACTTGCCCAAGGTCAGGCAGCTGCTAGGAGGTGGAGGTGGGCCTAGAACCAGGTGCACTGGCCCTGTGTGTTCCTGCTGACCCACTGCCCACCAGCTCAGAGAGCACCAGGAGAGCACACCCCTGGAGGCTCTGTCAGTGGTCCTGCCCGCAAGGAGGAGGCATGGAACTCACATCACTCTGACCAGGCATCAGCAAGTGATAACTTTGAGAGAAAGATGGAAAGCATCTTTCTATCTTTCATTCCATTGAAAGAGAGGATGCATTCCATTTTATAAATGAAAAACCAGGAAACTGAACAGCCTGAATGTCATGACTGGGAATACACACAGAGTAAATGGCGGAATGGGGATCCCATCTTCAAGGATAAAGGGAAACAGCCATCTCTGAAGCCCGGGTCAGGCTTCAGACCAGGCAGAGACTAAAACACCTCCGACACCCAGCTCTGTGTAAATTAAACAAAAGAACACCTGGAAAGACTGGACTAAATTATAAGGCACGTGCAAATATGACCTCTACAATTTCAAAAATATAAACTACAATCCATTTGTTTATGCAATCACTAGGTGACTGTGCAGTAGAGTGGTCCCTTGAAGAAGCTCTGGCATCATATGAACACCGGTTCAAATCCCAACTCTATCCTGAGTCCACCCTTCAGATTCCACCAACCGGTGCATTCACCTTGACCTTCAGCTTCCCAGCTATATAAAATGAGGGTGTGGTTAGATGGTATGTAAAGGTTGAGCTGAGAATTAAATGGCATAGCACACGGGTGAGTGTCTTTATAGACCCTGAGTAAACATCAAGTTAATTTGGTTTCTGTTTAGATTCCCTGTTACCAGGAAAATTGAACAAATGTAAGACCTGGTAAATCCTTCTCGCGTGTTCTCAGGGTGTGAGAAGGAGAGAAGGAGGCGCTGATAAACGGCTCCTGCTCCGTGAGAATGACAGAGACTACTCCCCTTCCCCACAATGGAGGGCGCTGCATGGCCCTCAGCCCGGTCCCATCCACGCTTGGCGGGCAGCCAGGACACACACAGCAGGGTCACACAACGCAGGGCATGAGCCTGCCCATTACAGTCACAGATTTCACGCTGCTACATCTGTATATTTATGACTTCCTACACCCTTCTCCCTAAATCTAAGTTAAAATCAACTGGCACAATGACTTTTTTAAAAAGCCCAAGATTGAATCCAGGAGGCAGAGGTTGCAGTGAGCTGAGATCGTGCCATTGCACTCCAGCCTGGGCGACAGAGCCAGACTCCATCTCAAGAAAAAAAAAAAAAAAAAAAAGGCCGAGAATGAGATGTAAAAAAAAATTCCTCTAATCTAAATTAAAATGCTGTCAAAAAGTGCTTATTAATCAGTCTGAGGTAGAATCCTCCAGCTAGCTCCCTAGTACATGATTAGAAGGCCCTGTACAAATGGTAAGGCACAGGGATAGTCCCTCTCCCAGGGGGTATGAATAATCCTATTTGATTAGTACTAGAAATCTTAAAATAATAATAGATGTGTTAACAAGGACACCATTTCCATTACCATTGACTAAACACTCGATCTATGCCAGGTTCATTCTGAGCATTCAGAGCAGGGTCTCGCCAAATCCTGACAACCCGGGTGGCATTCAATCACCTTCCTATTAACACATGGGAGCACAGCCATGGGACAGAGAGGATGCAATCCAGCCTTGTCTAGCGCCAAAGACCAGGCTGGACTCTTCCTAAACTTCCTGCTACATACATAGGTTTTCTCCTACATCAGAAAATGCCCAATGAGTGTTAAATGTACAGGAAAAGAATATGAAACATATCAAGTGAATCCCACAACAGGACTGGTCAAGCTTCTGTATCACTTTGTAGGAGCACAGATCTTTCTAAAGGTGCAGAGCTCCGGACAGGCTCTCCCAGCAGCTTCACCAGCAACCCCCTGCACCCATACCTTTGTGGTCTTGAGTAGGGGAAGGGGAGTCAGCCTCAGCGAGAGAGAAGAAGGGGCCTCCGGAATGCATGCTTCCTATTCTGTTTTCTCGTAAAAGGCTATCACTTTGCAAAAGGAAGGACTTGAACCTCAGTTGGACAGAGGAGATGGCTGTTTCCCTTCAACCTTGAAGATGGGATTCCCATTCCGCCATTTACGCTATGTGGGTTCCTGGTCATGACATTCAGGCTGTGTTCAGTTTCCTGGTTTTTCATTCATAAAATGGAATGCTTCTTATCTTTCAATGAAATGAAAGATACAAAGATACTTTCCATCTTTCTCTCAAAGTTATGATAACTAGAGAATACAGACATAAAGTATCCAGCTCACAGGCTCCAAATAAGGTAACCCATAATTACTATTAAAGGCTCTTCCTACATTGGACAGGGTCTGGCATCTGCTCCCTGGGCCTATCTCTTCTCTGCCTGCCCTGTTCCCAGCAGTCCACTGCAAGCACACACCTGCCCCGGGGCCCTGGCTCCTGTCCTTCTCTGCATCTCATCTCCTCAACAGGTTTGGCCCTGACCACCCTTTCCTCACTGGGTTTTTATCCACAGCACATACCAGCATTCAGCAGAACTGCACCTTTACCCGCTGGAACTCCAGCTCACTGAGGGCTGGGGTGCGCTTTATTTTGCTCTCCCTTGCACTTCTAGCGTTAGAGAACAGCCTTCTGCACCAAGTGGACATTGAGTGAGAGGCCAAAAGTTTGAGTTTTTTCACACATGACAAAACTTGGGGAGCTATTTTGGAAAGCTCAGCTGCTTTAGCAGGAAAAACAAACAAACAAACAAAAAACCGCTACCAACCAAAACCAAACACACACACAGCCCACAAGGATCTGAAGGCAGAAGGGCCCCTGCAGCCCAGGCGTTCCCACTCTCTGGGTCTCCTCCTCCCAG